GGGACCCAGCGACCCAGGCTCGCACTCGAAGGGGCTCGGCGAACCAGCCCCTCCTTCCGAATGAAAAGGATGCGCGAGGGTGACCTAAAAAGCTAGGGGAACTCCTGATCACCCTCTCGCTCCGTGCGGAGGCTCGGGGGCTCTTCCTACACCCAAAACAAAAGCAGGCCACCCAAGCTCGCACTCGAAGATTCGGAAAAACGCGACAAAAAGGGCGCCGAGCCCGTTACGGTCCAGGGGTTTGAAGGCTGGACCCCCGAGGGTTTCGACAGCCACCCCAGGACAACAGAGTCAGGGACAGCTATGGGCGAGCCCGTACATGGCTGAGGCCCGAGCAAGCGATCGCTCAGGATGCCCTAAGTCGTGTCTGAGACCAGCGAGGAGTTCTCCGAATGGGATCCCACCGTAGGGAGGCGCCGAGCCCCTGGGGCCAACCGAACGGCCTTGGGACCCACTAGAGAAGCCCTCTAGTACTTTTGGAGTGCGTCTCTAGACCACTAGCCGACCCCTATCGAATGGGGCACGGGCCTCCACTCGGATTTACCCGATAGCAGCTCACCGGAAGTGTCACCGCTCGCACCCACCAAGGGTAGCCTGGCATATTCCACCCCTCCTTCCGAGCGAAAAGGATGCGCGAGGGTCGCATAAAAAGCCAAGGGTACTCCTGACCGCCCTCTCGCTCTATGTGGAGGCTCGGGGGCTCTCCCTGCAACTAGGCCAAGTCCCAATGACCCAAACTCGCATTCATGGGCCCGGCAAACATGATAAAACTCCTTGCTCAATGGAGAAAAAAGCCCCTGGAGGAGTAAACCCACTCCTCCAGGGCCTCGGGCGCACCCACCGGAACCACCAAGTACAAAACACAATCCCGACGGGAGCTACTATGAGCCAAGTCTCGTCAAAACCTCGGGAGAGTGCCCGCACTCCTCCCGAGGCTCGGGGGCTACTGTCGGATACCACAAGAAGGGGTACCCTAAGCAAGAACCAAAAATATTGCTTAAGCCTTGCAAAAATCAAAGCCAAAGGACAACCACGAGGTCTCGGTAGATTCTCCGACTCGCCCAAGGCTTGCGCCGAGGCCTCAGACGAAAGGCCAAAGCCCTCCGCCCTGCCATGGCCCTCTCGTCGAGGCCCTCTCGCCGAGGCCCTACCCCGCAAGGCCTCGGATAGGATACCAATTCTCCGATTCGCCCGAGACTGGGCTCGGCAACAACCTCGTCACCTCCGTCCCGACCGACTCCTCTAACAAAATGTCACGTCCAGTTAATGCGCCCCACTACTCCCGCAACGTCAGCCGCACGTTGGCGCAGTACAAGCAGAATGACCGACGGGACAAGGGACCAGGCGCAGCAGGGGTTACCTGCCACTGTGCTCATCACTGTGCCCCTGCTGACACCCGTACTGCCCTGTGCTACCTAACTCCTGCGCCAAGGACAAAGTGGCGTGGATGGTCAAGTCCGGGTCCCTGTAGTCTCAGAATCAGCATGAAAGACTAACTGTTAGTCCTCCGCCTCGTCAGAGACCCCGGCGAGAATCTCGGACGTACTATTCCTTCTCCGCCTCATTTGAGGCCAGGCTCAAATCCCGCATCCTCGTCGCCTCCGCCTCAACCGTCCCTACGGTGAGCTGTCCCATCCGTTTAAGTGCGCTGGTCACACCTACTCGTCGACCACGACTAGCAGAAGTGCAAGAGCAGAGGCGATGGGGACGTGGTCGGATCTCCTTTTTACCATCCCCCCATCGTTGTGTAGGGGTTACTGTGTCTCTGTGGACACACGCTCCGCACTTTTCCACAGGAAAGATGCGACGCTAACCACCGAGACCCCGCATCATACACGGGTCACCTCAAGAGGCCTCGGCAAAGCATGCCTCGTCATGATCGGCAACCATAACACCCGGCAGGCCTCGGCACTCCACCAAGTCAAGAACCCACAAGGCACGCGGCATGTCTCCTACGGTGGAGGCCATGCGATTAGAGCGTCAACAAGGACTCCCATGACCTCAACAACCTCGGGCACAGCAAGACGGGCGCGCCAATCAAGTACCAATCGCCATTCCCAATACCATGGTCTCTGAGGATTTGAACTTCTGATGGGCTCCACGTATAGCTCACTCATGTACTCTGGCTCCCTCCTTGCGGTTATAAAAGGAAGCGGCCAGAGGATAGCTCTAGGGGCGAAAAAAAACATACGAAAGAACCACGCTCTCACACACGCGCAAGCGACACTCTGTAACACACGCTCCCCCAAGCTGCCCGAGAGCAACGTCTCAAGCAGCCCGCACCATTCCACGCCGAGACCTGGGACTAGCTCCCTCTCTCACCCAGCTTGTAACCCCCTACCACAAGCACTTCGGTGCAAGAAATACAAGATCGATCTCTCAGACTGGACGTAGGGCGCCAATTGCCTGAACCAGTGTAAACCTTGTGTCTCTTTGCATCACCATCCGGAATTAGGGGCACGCAGTTCAAATTCACTAGTTGGTTGAGGACCCCCGGTCCGAAACACCGACACTACTACTACAACACCCAAAATATAAGACCCATTCATTCTTTGCGTAGCACTATAGGCAAAAGGTTCAATACATATTCGGCATCTTCTCCAACAACAAGACCAAAAAGAGAATATTTTCTGTAAATGGGTTTCCAGGAGAGAGGATGCCCATATTTGGTTTGTGCCTCTTACGCAACCCAAAATAGTTCTCCCGTGTAGGTACTCTGTTGGAGGCTGATTTTGAGTCTCTTATTACCCATTTTGAATTTAGGTGCCCATATAAATTCCTTGTTAGAGACAGTCTAATTGAGGTGCACTAGTATCTTGTAGGCACCGAAGACGACGATGCCTACTTCGAGAAGTTTGGATGCCTTGATGAGCTTGTCCACCACTACAATTTTGATCCTGGCCTTGTTTGGGGCGGCTTGTCTCCCCTTAATCGTGCTTAAAGTTATGATTCTAGATCAACTTATTTTTTCGTGGTTCTCTCCTCGACCCGTTTCAACGTGATCGTAGAATCAGCTATTAGCGAGCAGTGGAGAAAATCCCGTCGATTCTCTCCTTCCTCTCGTCACCGCCTCCACCTGCTCAAGCCCCGCCCACGCCTCTCCTTGCTCGTGCCCCGCCTCCGTCCCACTCGGGCACTGGAGCCAGAGCAGGACACGAGCTCGACGAATCTGCCAGCAGTCCCGCTTCCGCCTCCTCGCTCAGGCACCGCAGCCAGAGCCGAGCCCGATGGATCCACCGCCTTATCATCTAGCAGCGACGAGGACAGGTGGTGCTTACAAGGTGGAGATGTCTCTTTCTCTTGCGACAACGGCGAGGCTGGTGGTTCCCGAGAACCAGCTTCCCACCATCGGATCAAAAGGGAGTTGTCTCGCCGTGGTAGTTGTCGAACCGCTCCACGAGTAGGCCCGTCACTAACGAGCGGACTGTCTCCTCTTCCTCATCGAGTCCCTTCCCATCCTCCTCATTCACGGCGGAGCTCGAGCATGTCCATGAGTTCTCACTTAGAATCTAGCATACCAAATGCTAAGATTTTTCTCCTTGTGATTCTTATAAAACCTCATTATGGAAGAAATCCAGCTTTAATTTCAAAGCGAAGTCGAGAAAAGTTGTCCTAAATTGGGCCTTTATCACTCTTCCAGGTAGGTAGGAGATGACTTTGGAAGGGTGTTTTTATAAAATTTTATCGTAGTGGATATCACCCGAAAAAGGTATGGATCTGCCGTTCATGATTTTGGACTAGATTTTGATTTTGAGTGTTTTGGACCTAAATGGCACGTAACCACAAGTTCAAGGCCCGCCAGCGCATTTAACTCTATCTGTTCTATAAAAATAAATTACGTAAAAGATAAAGTTAATTACATATATATAAAAACATTACTTATTTGATATAATAAATAATTTAACTTCTCTTATATAAACTCAGATGGAAACGGTTGAAGAGTATATGCATAACATTCATGATGCCTTAAAGACTGCCACATAGCTATGGTAGGTGGCAGCAGGTGAATTGGCTTTCCCTGTCCCCACCATATAAAAACAGTTTTTCTCTCTACTCTCATTGAGACGTGCTTTGCACCGCTACTCTGCATCCAGCCGTGTGCCTCACCAAATTCGAAATGGAACCCCAGACCCTACTAACGATGGCAGTGGGTTGGGTTTGGACAGATATCCGTGGATTTCGGGTCCAATAGGCTCGGGTTTGATTTTTCCCCATGGTTTTCGGGTTTAGGAACCCGAAATTTATCGGGTTCAGTTTCGGGTTTCGGTTTTCACCCGCGGATGTTCAATGGAGGTCCGAACATCTTGACTAAAGGACTCATGTGTTTTATTAATAAATTGTTTATGTAAGCTATTAAATTTTTTCTAAGTTGAGTCATGATTTGTTCTAAGTTGAGTCATGAAATTGTGTGTTGTTTATTGCCTCTAGTTTATACATGTCAATATGTAATTTATATCATGCATCTGTTATCATCCGGAAATGCTCCCCACACGGTGACACGGGTGACCACTGATCAGCCGCCACACGGGATCTTTCACCACCTACGCGTACCGGCGTACTGGGGACAGTGCCGCACTCTCTCGCTGACAGCCCTGGACACATGAGGGGTCCCCACATCACAGTGGTGTACCACCAGCGATGTGCCCATTGCTCGTGCTGTTTGTGGGGGCGCGGCGCGTGACGGCGTGAGTTTCTCGTTGAGATTCGCCGTGGCGGAGGCAGGCAGAGCCGCCTTTCGCCGTCGCGGCCTCCTGCTCCTCCTCGTCTGCCACCGGCTTCCAAGTCCCAGCGCGCAGGGGCCGACGGCGACGGGAGGGGAGAGGCGGCATTGGTAATCCGGGGGGAGGCTGTGGAGCGGAGGGCGGAGAGGGGCTGCGCCGGGCCACGCCGTCCGGGGTCTCCGGGTCGGTCGCCGCAGCTTCCGGCCACGCCGAGGCCGAGGAAAACGAGAGGGATCGAGGGAGGGCTATACCCCGGAGCCCCTTCGCGAAGGTTCCGGAATGGCGGTAAGACTTTCCTTTCTGTCCCCTTCCATGTATTGTGAAGGGATGATCTCTCGCGCCATGAATTCTTGATACTAATAGTCTGGTCCGCTGCTACGGTGATTCCGCGCGTTAGATTGGGTCCCTGATGTCGCGAGGTTGGGTTTTTTTTTCTCCCTTTCTGCTGCTCAACGCTAGGGTTTTCTTAACACTGGATCGAGTTAGAACCTGCATTTTTTATGCTATTTCGGGATGGATGGTGGTTTGATCCTATTGTTGGTCGAGGTGCCTGATGGTTAGTTCTTAATTCGTGTCACAGCACTGGGTTAGCGAGAGTGATGGCAGTGACAGCTTCGAATGGGATAGCGATGGCAATGGGGAGGAGGCAGCGAGCTTCAACGCTGCTGGTGCCAGTTCATCAGCAATGACATCAACGAACACTGATGCTCCAGGCCCATCGACACGGGTAAGCCAGCTAACTGATCCATGCATATGCAACAATGTGTGAACTCAGCAGCTAGTTGTTCTTCAGTTCATGTTACTCAGGGTTGTTCAAACCACTTGTGCCAAACTGGCCGGAGTGGGAGTGGGAGTGTGTGTGTGTGTGTGTGTGTGTGTGTGTTGGGGTTGGGGGGGTGTTGGATATATATGGTAGTCATGAACAGAAACAGGATCATGATTAGTGTATAGCGACACAAACACTCTCAATGTTACTGTTACCTTGTTCCTAGTGGCTACGATTGTAATATTTCTGTTTGTTTGTGGGGCTGATTTGAAGGTTGCTAATGGCAATGGGAAGGCTGGGCCATCTGCCGCTTTGGTTCAGAAGTATATGGACATGGGTTTCACAGAAGAGATTGTTCTGAAGGCCATGAAGGACAATGGTACTTAGCTAATAACCCATTTCTTCTCATTTACTTAGATTCTAGGTGATTTTATATACTCTATCTGACAGTTGCTTTTTCTTTCAGGGGATAATGGAGCAGATTCATTAGTTGAGCTTCTTCTTACTTACCAGGTATTCATTTGTGTTCCTACTTCTATTAGTTATTCTTTGATGATGTTGTTGCATGGTGTCAAAGAGGATTTGTATTTACGAAGTGATGCCAAATGCAGGAACTAGGCAATGATCTCAAAGTGGATGACGGCTTTGCTTCTGGTTGTGTCCCCCAAACTGTTGACGATAGTGATGATGATGACATTCTAGAAAACTGGGATGATGAGGATGCTGGTGGTAGAAGCACAAGGGTTGCTAACTCTTTTGATGATTCTGGAGACGAGGTATTTTGACGCGCCCCCTTGGTGACTGTATGCATTTACTTTATTATTTTGAGAAACCTGCTATGTATTTAGTTTGTTTCAATCACATTTACTTCTGCATTAAACTTGTTTAATGTTAATCCAGTAAATAGACTACTTATCCTGAAGACCATAAGGTTCCTTACTTTTACTTGCACTTGTTCCTTTTGTTTTCAAACAGCTGTTAGCTACATAGCTGTACTAGAAAGCCAATCTACTTTGTTTTTCCGTTATATTTGGGGACAACTGGGTTCTTTTAGGCAAAACAACATGTTCCCATAAAACCAAAATCCTTAATTTTTTAAGAAAATCGTATTGGTAAGACGGTAAGCAAGATAGTTGTGTCAATCATAAACTTGAAACTATTGCGTTTCATCTTATGCGTATGACTAGAACTCTCGTGTTGGGTGATATTCTTGAACAAGACACCACCATGGACTAACAAATGAAATTCCAAAATTGTGGGTGGTTCGTTAATGATGAATTTCTTATTTTGTATCTGACATTCATTTCTTTTTACTGAAATTTGCTGTAGCCCCTCCTCCCTGTAATAGTATTCACTCCTACTGTTTTAATTCACGAAAAAACTTTAGTTATGGGTTATAATCTACTTCCTTTTTGATACTTATGCAAATCGTTCACTGATCCTGAGAATTGGAGGCTCTGTAGTGCAACAACATTCCTGTTCAAATCTAACATTGAACTTGCATTGTGCTTTCTGGTGTTTGGCATGTGACTTCATGTAGCTGAGAGTTGATTGAATTGTTTTCCTAAAATTGTCCATAGTTATGAATTATGATACTTCCCATTTTTATACACATTACAAGAATTGTTGTTTTTGTCCTTTGGTTGCAATACTAGTTTATGTAGCTTATCAACTGTATTCTAAGTGCTTTCTACACAGGATTTCTTACATGAGATATCACAAACGGATGAGAAAGTTGATTCGTTAGTTAAAATGGGGTTTCCTGAAGACGAGGCTGGACTGGCTATTACTAGATGCGGTGTGCTCTCTGAGCCTTTGTTCCATGCTCCTCTGTTTGCCTTAGATTCCTCAGCAAAATAAACATCAATTTCCAACCTTGAAAGTAGGATGTGCTCTCATATAGAATAAGTTAGTTGAATCCTCAAATGCAGTAAGTAGGAACTCGTAAATTGTCTGCAACCTTGAACTGGGATAACCTAGAATGGTTGATTCTTTCTAAGCTTGATTTACTGTTTGCATCAAGTCTGGGTATCAAAGCAGGCAACCAACAATTTATTATTCTTTTGGGGTCAGAATATTTTAATTGCATTTGCTGTCAAATAAAACTGTTTTTGCAACGTGTACCACTCAGATTCTGTCCTTGTCCCTGTTTTATTTTAACTTATCTTCAGAGTTTATTATTTGAAGGGCGGGCCTAGTGCAAGCGGTAGAGTCTTACCGCCTGTGACCGGAAGGTTCTGGGTTCGAGTCGCGGTCTCCTCGCATTACACAGGCGAGGGTAAGGCTTGCCACTGACACCCTTCCCCAGACCCCGCACAGAGCGGGAGCTCTCTGCACTGGGTACGTCCTTTTTTTCAGAGTTTATTATTTGAACTTGTCAAAGTATGCTCCAAATGCCCCTGTTCACTGATCATGCATCTTACGCCATCTACTGTCGTCTGTGGTTTAAAATTACTCAGGGCAGGATGCATCTATTTCTGTTCTGGTGGATTCAATATATGCTTCACAGACCGCAGGAGATGGTTACTGTGGCAATTTGTCTGACTATGAGGTTTGTCTTAGGTGAACTGTCCATACAAGTCTGCAATAAGATTTAGTTCTAATTTAATGGTCTGATAATGGAACTGTGTTTGCAATACTGCAGGATAGTTCGTATGGAGGGAGAAACAAAGGAAGGTTCATGGATGGGAACAAAAAAAAGAGAAAGACATGGTGGTCAAGCACAGGGAAGTAGAGGCTCATTAGATGGTAGCTCTAATGAACCCATGCCTCTCCCACATTCAGTGGTTGGATTTAACTTGCCAGACCAGTGGACATATCGCTGCCTTCACAAGCTATGGGTCCACCATACTTCTACTACGAGAATGTTGCTCTTGCTCCAAAAGGTGTCTGGACTACCATATCAAGATTCTTGTATGATATTCAGCCGGAGTTTGTGGACTTGAAGTACTTCTGTGCTGCTGCCAGGAAAAGAGGTTATATACACAATCTGCCACTTGAGAACAGGTTACCTCTCCTCCCCATACCTCCAAAGACAATATCCGAAGCATTTCCTCATACCAGGAGGTGGTGGCCATCATGGGACCCACGACGACAGTTCAATTGCCTCCAGACTTGTGTGTCTAGTGCAAAACTGTTAGAGAGGATACGTGTAGCCCTTACAAACAGTTCAGATCCACCTCCTCCAAGAGTTCAAAAGTTTGTGTTGGAGGAGTGTAGGAAATGGAATCTCGCTTGGGTTGGCTTAAACAAGGTTGCTCCTTTAGAGCCTGATGAGATGGAGTTTCTACTCGGCTTTCGGAAGGATCACACCAGAGGTATCAGCAGGACAGAGAGGTATCGATCTCTAGGAAATTCATTTCAAGTTGATACTGTTGCTTACCATCTCTCAGTCCTCAAGGATATGTACCCACAAGGCATGAATGTACTGTCTTTATTCTCTGGTATTGGAGGAGCAGAGGTAGCTCTCCACAGGCTTGGTATACGCATGAAGACAGTTATTTCAGTAGAGAAGTCTGAGGTCAATAGGACTATTCTGAAGAGTTGGTGGGATCAGACGCAGACTGGTCTTCTGATTGAGATTAGTGATGTGCAGACACTGACATCTGAGAGGATCGAGGCATATGTTAGAAGAATTGGCGGCTCTGATCTTGTGATTGGTGGAAGTCCCTGTAACAATCTTGCTGGGAGCAACCGTCACCACAGAGATGGTTTGGAGGGCGAACATTCTTCATTATTCTACCACTATGTTAGGATCTTAGACTCCGTCAAGTCCATCATGGAGCGTTTGTAGTTTTTGGAATCTTTATTGTTTTGGTTCTAGAATTGTAGCATCTTTTCTTGTGATCAAACTTGTGAATGATTTGAAGGTTGACTGGTGTGATTCTCATGTCACTCTAATTTAGGCTACTTTTAGTTTAATCTCCTTTGGTGATCAATGCAAATTGATGTTGGTGCAATTCTGTGGCACTGTTTGGTGATTAATGCAAATTGATGTTGGTGCAGTTGTGTGGCACTGGCAGTTCTGATGCTTTCCCTTTTTAAGTTTGTATTTCTCAGCGCGTGTTCAGTTCCACCCTAAATTCTCAAAAAGTGCTACAGTACCTATCACATCGAATGTTTGCGGCCCGTGCTTAGAGCATTAAATGTAGACGAAAAAAAAAACTAATTGCACAGTTTTATGGGAAATTGCGAGACGAACGTTTTGAGTCTAATTAGTCCATGATTGAACACTAATTGCCAAATAAAAACGAAAGTGCTACAGTAGCCCTAAATTCCAACTTTCATAAACTAAACACGCGCTCAATGAGAGATCTAGTATCTTTGTTGCAAAAAAAAAAAGCAATTGTGGAGCTGTGAAAAGGACAATGCTATAAGCTCCAACCACCCACTGATGGTGAGGACAGAGGATGTCCTGCCTCACTATGTGCATCCAACCCAAAAGATCCTGCATTTGCTCACGGTTACCACCATACCACAACTCCACCCAAACCATAAAAACCAGTGTGGCAACAATGAGAGCTAAAGCTTCCAGGCTCTGAATCATCAGGATGTCTGTGACAGCATCATCCCAGGTGCCTCAGCCTCACACCATACGACCTGTTGTGAGCTGCTTTAGGTTGCATCAACTATCTGCGCAGAATTTGGACCGATGTGAGTTCTCGTTCTCAGCTTTGGCCTTCTTTTTGAAGTGTATGCATGTTGAATACAGATTCTAGAGTCCCTTGTGTTTGTGTAGATCGCAGATGGTGGGGGACTGGAAAGAACATGATTCTTTCCACTCGTGGTGTGCTTGAATCCAGCAATGGTGCACATTCTAGTGGCCTTATGAAGAAAAGGTGAGTTGTTTTGTAAGTGTTGCATTACCAAATCACTTCAAATTTGTAAAACTGTTGCCCAGAAATTGACACTGTGAAAGTATCATATTTACATCAGTGTTCTAAATTCTGCATACTGTCACCTCATGCCCTGGACTATGCAGAGCTGTAGTAGACAGCTGATCTAGTACACTTTGCAGAAAGATTTTGGAGCACATTATTCTGCTTAGAGCCAAGCCAAACATCTCAGATGCTGAAGAAAGAGATATGCTGGACTACCTATATACATCACAGTACCAGATGAGAGGGATACTCTGTCTCATTAGGTTAGGCTTATATACACTTCAGCTGCAGAATCAGTTAATAAGTTTAAACTTCAATTTGGTATTTGTGATATATTGGATGCAGGCCGCATAGAGGACCCCAACAGGGAGAATTTCACACATGCTGTCTTCACGCGTTTTCAGCAGAAAGAAGACACCACAAAGTTCCAGAGTAGTGCATACTATTCGAAAATTGTTGATGAGCACGTAAAACCTATTTCCTATGTATGCCTCAGCATGTAATCTTCTTTCCAGTTCTTACACCATACTGATTCTCTATGCTCATAGCACTGTGATAGACACTGTTTGGATAACTTACAAGGCTCGGTTTCTGTAGATTTCGAGTCCGAGGCGGAAGATGACATTATACCTATCTTTCATAGGGGAGAGGTAACTCAAGCTACCTTTTCCTGGCGTAAATCGACACCATTCTTTAGGTATCTAAAAAATGTCCCAATGCCATTTTTGCACTAAAACCGAAATGTTGTTTCCTGTGGCAGGATTTTAACTACGGTGTCGAGTTCATGCTGCTGATATCTTTCTTTTAAGACTGCATCCGGAGAGGCAACGGAGGATGCATTAGCTTCTCTTCAGAAGTTGATCAGCCAATGCAGTTCTTTTACTGTGCAGGCAACCTGCGGTAAGACAACATGATATGTTATGGTTCTTCAGTCACATTGCCACTGCGACTGCGATTCTGTACACGATTGCTAAGGCTGAAGACATATAACCTATTTATCCTGTTCCACATAGATCGTCATTAACATGTACATTTTTTGTTACAAGCACTTTTTCCAAAATCTCATGGAACTGCTTCTAATGTTATATACTTTTATTTTGTATCAGGATGCTGTTTGGATCATCCGGATAGCGGATACAGTCATGCTGCACTAATCCGTTTCCCATCATGTTAGTGAGCTATAAGTTCTTTCTCATCCTATGCATGTCAGAATCTCTGTGTATAAGTTAGCAGCATGTTCGAGCTACGGTTGCTTACTCAATTTATTGTATCATGCAGTTGACGACTTGAAGCTGTTCAGGGAGAGCATGGAGTACAAGGATGTAAGGATTCTGCTCACACGGATTTCAATTTTGAGTTTCCTGCCTGGATCTGCATACCGCATTCCACTAACCCAAGTAAATTAAAACTAGAAAAATAGAAGATAGAGGTTTGCATACAGAATATGACGGTGCAAATGCAGGGTTGGATTCCAACTCTGAACTGAAGCAGGATGTGTTTGGTCTGTGAGTTGCAGATGTGGGCATCGAAGTTCCACCCGGTCGTGGAGAGATCCCTCCACCTGCATTTCACCCTTGACCCCGTGGGGAACCAGCTGATGTAGACCGAGCAAGCGATGACTGGCATTTTGCCCTGACTACTGAGTTTGCTACTTTGATACGTGATCAGTGTTGTTTGAGCCGCTGCAGCCTGCAAGCCTCAATGAAATCTCCAAGTTGGACAAGAAAAAACAGATGAACGCCGATAACCTCACTTGGAACAGATGTCATCAGGCATGTGCAGTGGTAGTTCGGTACAGAGTTGAGGACAACAAACAGTAATCTGACTGAGATGCAACAAACAGTGGGCGTGTTCGGCTGGTAAAGAATTCAGCCGGAATTCACTGGTTGTGGCTGAAATTCACTGTTTACATACTCACAAGTTCCTTCAGATTCATCCAGATTCCTCCCAGCGAACAGGACCGGTAATCTGACGGTGTGTGTGACTCGGTGGAATGAACCACAGGACCAGGTAAGCTGCTCGCCACCATCCTGATTCCTTTCCACAAATTAAAGGAGAACTCGTCCAAACGCATAGATTTCGATCCAAGACGTCCTCACTAACGTCGCCAGAAATGGAAGAAAATCAACCGCGCTAGCTAGAATAGAATGACCGGTCGACGGTGAGGTGTCGTGTTGAGGGATCGGCAGCGTCTGCTCCTCGGTTTCACTTTCACTTTCACCACGACACCACCCCGGCACCCCGCCGTTCACGTTCACGCGCGGTGACAAGGATTTCACCGCGGTACGGGTGGATCCGGCGACGAAATCCAAGGAGGGTCCCAGGTGTTGTGTAATCCCGCGGCACCTCGACGTGAGGTGCACGCTTCCACCTCCCATCCTCCCTGCGCTAGTGGATTCTCGCATCACCCCCGAATCCCTGCCGCGCGACTACCGTTTCACCTCAGCCTGTCAGGCAGGCCAACTGCCACTTTCACCTCGGTTTTTTTAAGCACTTGCTCACCTCTCTGCACTGCTACATGCATGTTACATGCTATATGCGGAGGATTTCATAAAAAAGAACAGTATAAGAGAAATTATGGAAAGGAAGCATGTGAACTCGTCCCGGTGGAGGCGGAGGGTGATAGCACTGAATTGCATTCCTTTCCTTCCAAGAGCGTGAGCACTGAATTACATTTCATTCCTTTCCTGCCATATCTTCCACTCAATCACCAATCAGCATGAATTGCACTGTCTTCTGATGGAGGGTGGGTGATAGCAGGAAAGGCCCACAATGCAAGAGCGTGAAACACCTAATCTGATTGGAGAAGCTACAGTTAGATTAGCCAGTGCCTAGTGATCTGCCGTCTGTACGTCGTACCTCCTGATCGCAGAGGGTGCAGTGGCGTTCAGGCGTTTGTTTGCCATTGTAGTAGTAGGTCTGCCGTCCAAACTCCAAAGGCAGTTCAGCAGGGCAAGCCACACGAATGAATAGTTTTACTTTAGCCCGCGCCCAGGATTTTCAGATGGGTGTGGCGCTCTCAAATTTGATCGAAACTTATGAACTTCCTGTGTAACCGGAGCGCACTGAGTAGATCAGAGAAGAAAGCCAGCGCCATATATATGATGATGTTTCCAGATCGATGGAACTGTCCTACTTAGTACTATTAATTATTAGAACTATATAATGGTGCTGTTCGCTGGTCTAGTTCAGACCAGCCAGCTGCTTCTCCTCTCAAGTTACTATTCACCAAACCAGCCGAACAATATTTTTCTCTCACAACAAACTAGCCGAAACAGTGTTTTTCAGCCAAGTTTCAGACCAGCGAACGGAGCCAATATATTTATTACAAGTTTACTTCTACCTCTGCTTGGTGTTGTAGGGCGGTACCTACGGTACCTTTCTATGTTCATTAAAAGGTACAGTAGTAAACCTCCCGCAGCCTATTTGTTTCGGCTGAAACGATCGTGGATTATTACTGCTAGCTGGTTTGGTATGAAAGAAAAATACTGTTCTAGCTTATAATCCATGATCGTTTACGACCAAACGAATAGGCTACATGTTGCCTCCTTGGTGTGTGTTGATCATCTACATAATATCAATAAAGGCGTGTTTAAATGCAAAAAAAGGTGTGTTTGGATGAGACCCTGGTAGTCTGGAACCAGGAACCTCGGCCAGGCGGACCTCAGGCGTCCATAATGGGGCGTCTGGGAATGATGCTTGCGCCATGTATGTTTTTTCTCGGCCGTCAATCGGAACACGCCCTAATAGCATGTAGCTGTCAGAATATTAGGCAATTTTAGTAGCAATTTAATCTAGAAAAAGACATTAAACAAAATGATCATGTTGGTGACATCATATATGTGCTTGTGTGTCTTAAACTTGACGAGCATGTAGATGATACTCAAACTAAGGATTGATAGCCAAGACCACATTTCTTTGATATACCAGAGTTTCGATGAAGACTGTTAAGTTGAACATCCATCTAGAGCAGCAGTTACACTGAGTCACAACTGAACAATGGACTATGCATTAAATTGACAGTTTCGTGTGAGGTGAGTTTCACTAAAGTTCTTATCTGGTACTAGGCTGCAACAAGCATCCCCTTTATTGGAAGCATATAAGTCGCACTTCAAGGCCTTTCATGAGTATCTAGAGATTACCCACATCTCATAGATTGTGACAAGCAATCGAACTCATATAGGTGTGTTCCTTCTAGGATGTTCTGTAGGACAACATCCCTGCTTAAATAAGTCACTCGGATCACATTAAGGAATTGACCATCCTGCCTTACAACATTGGAGAAACAGTGCATCTCAAACGATTCGGACCTTAGCATAAGGGGTCTCTCACTCAGTCAACCACTAGCTTGTTTCACCATCCTCCTTCACGGGATCTCCGATCACATAGGACAGGTTGCCACTATAAAATGACTTCACATGGGTCTCAAGCCCAACTCTCTCGATGCACCTTCTATCACATTACGTGACAGACCCTTTGTAAACTAATCTGCCAGATTCTTTGATGTATGGACATAGTCCAATGCAATTACTCTAGAGTTTCTCAATTTTCTGACAGATTTTAACCGTCTTTCACATGCCTTGTAGACTTCATGTTGTCCCTAGAACTGTTCACTTTGATTATCATCGTTTAGTTATCACAGTTCATGGAAATGGCCGGTATCGGTTTTTCAACTACCGGTAAATCCATTAGGAATTCACGAAGCCACTCGGCCTCAGCACCAGCGGTGTCTAATGCTGTGAGTTCTGCTTCCATTGTAGACTTCGTTAAAACGATCTGCTTGCAAGACTTCTAGGAAACAATGCCACCTCCAAGCAAGAACGCGTATCCGCTTATGGCATACAGCTTATTAGCATCAAATATCCAGTTAGCATCACAATAACCCTCCAGTACCCTCGGGTACCCGGTATAGTGAATGCCATAACTCATGGTTCCCTTTAGGTACCTCAACACCCTCTCAAGAGCATGCCAATGTGTATCTCCCGGATTTAAAACACCCGGATTTTAAACAAACCGGCTAAGTTTGCTCACAGTAAACAAAATATTAGGCCCTGTTACACTAGCCAAATACATAAGTGAGCCAACAATTTGAGAATATCTCAATTAATCCCGTGCTATTCTTTGATTTTTCATTAATAGCACACTTGGGTCATAAGTAGTTGGAGCAGGTGTGCAATCGCTATATCCAAAGCGATTCAACACCTTTTCCACGTAGTGGGATTGCACAAGTGTTACCCCACCATTTTCTTCTCTCAGTAGCTTTATGATAAGAATAACATCAGCCTCACCCAAATCTTTCATTTCAAAATTATTAGATAGAAAATCTTTCACTTCCTTGATCACATTAATATTATTTCCAAAGATTAAAATATCATCCACATACAAGCACAAAATTACACCTTCTCCCCCACCATACCGATAATAGACACATTTATCAGCTTCATTCACTGCAAAGGCGACCGATGTCAAAGTTTTGTCAAACTTCTCATGCCACTGCTTAGGAGCTTGCTTTAGGCCATATAAGGATTTTAATAATTTACAAACATTACCCTCTTGACGTTTTGCTACAAATCCATCAGGCTGATCCATGTAGATCTCTTCCTCAAGCTCTCCATTCCAGAAAGCTGTCTTAACGTCCATCTGATGAACGAGAAGACCGTGTGAGGCAGCCAAGGACAACAACACACGTATGGTCGTCAAACGGGCAACTGGTGAGTAGGTATCAAAATAATCCTCACCTTCTTTCTGCATATAGCCCTTTGCTACAAGCCTCGCCTTGTACTTCTCAATAGTACCATCAGGCCTAAACTTTTTCTTGAACACCCATTTACATCCTACTGGTTTGCATCCATAAGGACGATCAACCACCTCCCAAGTTCCACTACACATAATAGAGTCCATCTCACTCTGAACAACTTCCTTCCATAAGTCAACATCTAGAGATGAGTATGCCTCTTCTATAGTTTTAGGAGTGACATCCACAAGGTATATAATATAGTTATCGGTGCAAAAAGTGACCAACAAGTAAATATTTGTCGTTTTGCGGTACGTTGTGATCGGATGTGGCCTAGCACTCAATGACACAGGGTTTATACTAGTTCAGGCAACGTACCCTACGTCCAGTTTGAGTCGGTCAGTGACTTTATTCCTGAGCCCAGGTGCTCTAAGTTTGCTGTGGGGTTACAAACGAGTAGGAATAAGAAGGAGGGTGTTAGAGGTCCGACCGGGCTCTGGACCGAAGTGCCAAGAGTGACGGGAGCTCCTACGTGCACAAAGTATTGGAACGTATGCTCTATGTAGCTTTAGAGTTCTTGAGCCATGGAGCTATTCGAGTGCTCAGAATGTCTAAAGCTAGGCAGAGAAAAAGAGTCGGAGTCATCGTCCCCCTGTTGGGAGAGAGCGCATCCCCTTTTATAGGTGAAGGAGATGGCCTTACAAGTGAGAGAGAGAGAGTGTGTGTGGTACCTAGTCTTGTTGCCCACGCCGTCGGGTACAAGACGGTTTGCCGGCGCCCACAATACTATTGATGCCCAGATGCATGTGGCATACTCCATTGTGTTCTTCTGGTATGGCAAATGTCGGCGCCTACCATACTGTAGGACA